ACGTTGACATTAGTTGACGCAAACTTTGTTCCTGTAAAACTTTTATGTCCTATGTATTTGTCAATGACGGCAGAAAGTTTCGAATTGGAAGATGCAACTGGTGAAAGTATTGTATTACAAGAACAACTTCAACAACAAATAGCTCAAGAACAACAAATGCAACAAATGGAACAACAAAGTCAAGAATAAAAAAATAATATTTTTTTTATTCTTATAAAAATGTACAGAATAGATGTTTCAGATTTTTATGACTTCCAAGCATTCAGAAATATGTGTCCATTTCGAGACTATAACAAAGCAGTCGAGAATTTGAAACGTTTAGTCATTTATGTCGACTCTGCCCCAGAATGTTATGTTATGAAAGAATGGGATGTAGTCTTTAACAAACCTAAAGCGACAATAGTTTCAGAACAAGAATGTAGACAGAAACTTAAGAAAATAAAAGTCGTACAAGTTGGTATGAAGATGTTAGATGCTTGGGATATCTTATTGTCAAAGTTAGAAGATTTTTCAGTTCGAGGTATAAAGTTCTATACACCATCTCCAAACTTCTATTCTATCTTCACTGGATATAAATATGAACAAGTAGAATGGAAAGAAAATATTATAGAAGCTTGGTTAGACCATGTCAAAGAAATTATATGCAATGGAAACGAAAAGGTTTATGAGTATATCTTATGTTGGTTTGCAAACATCTTACAACATCCAAGTGCTAAAAATGAAACTGCTCTCATTATAATTGGAAAACAAGGAACTTGTAAGAACACATTCTTTACAGATATCTTATGCAAACTTTTAGAAGGTTATTCGAACCCTAATATGACAAACTTAGAAAACATCTGTGGTAAATTTAACTCTTCAATTGAGAATATGAAACTTATAGTTTGCAATGAACTTCAAAGTATAGATACAACAAAAGTTTTAAACTCAGATGCTTTGAAGAGTCTTATAACAGATAAAGTTGGAGTTGTTGAAAGAAAGTATAAAGACTCAAGAGTTTGTGAGAATGTTGCAAACTTCATTATGGTTTCAAACAATGCTGTTCCGATGAAGTTAGAAAGTTCTGACAGAAGATATGTAGTCGTCAGAACGTCAGATTCTCATATGCAAGATACTGAATATTTTGACGCTTTGTCAGAATGTTTGACATCTGACTTTTACAACCACTTGTTCTCATATTTCATGACATTAGATATTTCTAACTTCAATCCAAGACAAATTCCACATACCGAAGAGAGACAAACATTGTTAGAAGCAAACAAGAGTGTATATGAACTGTTCATAGAAGAAAGCGACTTTGAGTGTTTAGATGAAAAGTCTTTATATGATGAATATAAACAATATTGTCAAGAGTATGGTTATATGCCAGCGTCTAAACGAACATTCTTGGCAAATGTCAAAAGTCTTTTAGACGTACAGAATGGTGTATATACAAAGAAAATTTTTTCTGAGTAAATTTTAAAAAAATATTTTTTTATCCGATAGAAAAAGATGGCAAAATTCATCTCAGTAAATAAGTACATGACAGAAGTCAAAGATAAGTTAGCTCCATTCGCATATTTGAATGTTTACTTCTACAATTTTGAAAAGTCTACATTCAGCAAATTTTGGAACATCGAACCAGTTAAGTTTGCTATTGTGACTAAAAATGGTGCGAAATTTGAAGACTTAGACATAGAAGGTTTGTTAACAGTCAAAGAAAGTTTTGACAGAAGGTTCTCAAACCTTAAAGAAGGCAAAGCATACAAACTTGTTATACCTTATGAACCAAAGAAGACAGACGACTATGAATATTATGAGTCTAAAGTTGTAGAAGTTCAAGGTAAATTGGGTAAAAAGATTTTAGAGTCTAAGCCAGTGTTTACTCCTAAAGAGGAAGAGAACATTGACATTGACCCAGAAATGTTCTAAAAATAAAATTTTATTTTTACATGTCAAATTTCTTCTTCGGTGGAACTGGCTCTGGTTCAGGTTCTTTCTTCTCTTCTTCTACTTTCTTTTCTTTCTTCTTCTTTTCTGGTGGAGTTATGTCAAATTTGGCGCAACCATATTTATGTAAAAGTTCTTTGTCCTTTAATAGCTCTTCTATTCTGTTTTCTATTTCATCTTCAAGAAAAGCGCATGTGTCTTCTTTGCATTCTAAGAACTTTTGTTGGACTTCATCTTTCCAATCGGCGTCATCTCTGTCAACAAGTCTGTCATTGACAAATTTTAAGACTGCTCTGCTTAATGTTTTATGGTTCTTGTCATATTCCCAGAAACAGAACTTTAGAACAAATTCACCTTTCTTGTTTACACTATGTAAGATTTTATGGTCGACAGATGTTTTGCTGTCAAAAAGTTTGTTTCTAAAAATATAAAATTAAAAAAATTTTTTAAAAAAAAAAAAAATTTTAATTTTTCTAAAAATATGTTAGAAAAAAAGTTTGCTGACATTGACAAAAAATTTGAGAATGTTTTAAATAAGAACAAGAGGAAGTTAGAAAATGCTCAGATAAAACCTATACATGACAAGTTCTTATTTGCTCAGAATGGTATAACAGGTCTAATTGCACCACCTGGGTCGGGTAAGACTTTCACTTATCTTAAAATGGCTGCACAACAACAAGAACTAGATGAGAAGAACCCATTCTATGAGTTAGTTGTTATTTGTTCGACTTCTGGTCAATTTGACCAAACCGTCAATTCGTTCAAAGATATTATAAAGAAGTCTAAGTTAGTATGTATAAAAGACTCTGAGTTGTTAGATTGGATAAAGAAGTACCAAAGAAGAGTTTTGAAGTATAATGCTATAAATGAGTATATAAATTCTAAGTTCAAAGACCCTAATGAGGAAATGCAGAGAATATTAGAGAAGAAACACTTCAGAAACAAACAGAAAGAGATAGAATACATTTCGAAGAAATTGCAATCTTACGATTGGAAGACTTACCCTCACAGATGTCTTCTTATCTTAGATGACTTTGCTTCTCATCCTTTGTTAAAGAATAGAGAACAAGATATGTGTCGAATTCTCAAGAAGCTCAGACACTTTAACATCTCAGTCGTAATATGTGTACAGACAGCAAAGAGTTTAAGTAAGGATGTAAAGAGAATACTTACTGACATTATACTTTTCCCAGGATTGTCCGAAGACGATTTCATGGAACTTATGAAAGAGTCCATGGCAGGTAAGTTTGACAGACATGAACTATGGGAGAAGTATAAAGTCATACAAGACCCTCATACTTCTTTCAGAATTCATATCTACGCAAACAAAGTTCAAATTGTAAAAAGTCAAGCTTGAAAAATGTAAGTGTTTAGTCTTAGTAAGTAAGTCTGTTGTGGTTCTGCAGCTTTCGGTTCTTCTGGCTTTGGAAGGCATTCAGGAAGAGGAACGTCAGTCATCCGTTTGTGTCCTGTCGGAAGGAAAAATTTTTCCTGTCGGAAGGAAAAACTTTTTCTGAAGTTCGACCAAAAAGTTCTCAATTTTCGAAAATTTGAATGGTTTACGGACGGACAACTGGAAGAGTTCTTCCTGTCGTCGGGAAAATTTTTTCCCTTTGTCCGGAAAATTTTTTCCAGTTGTCGGGAAAATATTTTCCTGTCGGATGGAAGGACTCGGAATGCCAGAAGGATTTGACGAGGCAATTTACCTTATAGAGCTACCTGAGCCATCTGAAGTCAAGCTTGAAAAATAAAGAGTGCATTTACCCTACTTGTTTGAAGTTGTCAAAATACTCTGTTATTTTTTCCTTTAACAATGGCAAATCTTCTTTGAAGGTAAAAATTGTACAACCTTTAATATCATAGTGTGTTTGAGGTAACGTATCTTGAACTATTTGTTTCACATCTTCATTTGGAGTCATTGAAATCGGTAAGTTTTCGCGATAGAACCAATTTCTGTCAGATTTGCAAATCTTAGCAAGGTCGTAAAAGCTTTTGTTGTTTCTTCTGACTAAATGCAACATAACCATGTCACTGTCTTCCATATCTTCAGTATAAATCATATACTTATAGTTCTTTTCCTTTCCTTTTGGTACCGAACGTGGTATTCTTTTCTGAATGCTTTTGTCTTTTGCTTCAAGCTTGTTTTCCATCTCTTTTCTCATTTCTGTATGTAAATCGTCAAGAAGTTTGTAAACATGCCATGCATAACGAGGAGAAGCCCACATTGCAACAGCATTTACTAAAAGTCTATGAACATAATATCCTCTTAAATTTATTGGCAAATTTTTACGATTTTCATGTGTTTTATGCAAGACCGAGAATTCTCGGTCTAGAGAAATTTCACTCAAAAGTTCTTGTGTGCTTTGGTTTCTGAACCAGTCGTCTGTATGTTTGGTATCTGGAGAAAATAGAACGATATAAGTTTACATTTGTAAGGTTACTTTAGTGTTAGTCATATTTGAATTTTACGGTCAAAAATAAATTTAGGTGAACTAGTGCAAATGCACACAACTTTTCACCTCTTTTTTTAACCTCATATGTCCTTACTGAAAAAGTATGTGTTCCATATGTCATTTTACTCAGAATTTTATACAGAATTCGGCAAAAATAAAATTTAGGGTAGAAGGGTATATCTATCCCGTTTTCTACCCTTTTTTCTACCATAAAGTTTTATAAGCGTTTTACATGGTAAACATTGTGAATTCGTGAAATTCTAAACAATTTTGTGGCTTCGATTTCCTCTGTCAGTATGTCAAAAGTTTTCACAATATTGAATGTATCTTTATATTTCTTCTTGACATCTGAAAGAAGGAAATCGTCAGCTGTTGGATAGTTTTTGTTTAGAAATGCCAATATGTTCATTTTGTTTTCTGCTGGTTTCTCTATCTCTTTCTTTAAGTCAGCATAGTCGTTTCGCATACGTTCTATCTCTTTGACAGAATAGTTATATTTCCTTATTGCTGCTTTACATTTAGAACATTGTGGGTTCATTTTAGCATTGTACATTGAAATTTGTCCTGCAAGAACAACTAAAGCGTCAATGGTCCTCTTAAATTCAAAACATGCAGGTCTAATTTGTTCGTTCCATACCTTATTTCTTTTGTCTTTATTTCTTATTTCCCAAACACATTTAGCTACTAACGTAACAAAATTGTCATATGTTTTGAATTCTTCAGATTTGTATAAGTCAGATATGTTCTTATATACCATATTGCAGTCTTTGTCCATGACTTTGTGGTTGCAATGAATTCCAAGGAACTCATAGTTAACTTTACGTATGAACTTCTTAATTTCAACTGAGTCGGTTGGTCTGACTTCAATTTCTTCAAATTCTGGAATAGTAAGCTTTTGTTGTTGTATTTCAGGAAGTTTAGGTAGATGGTCAATAATATCCTGCATTTCATAAAGATATTGTTCATTTGTTTCATCTTTTGCAGTGCAATCTAAATCTCCTTGGAGAAGTTCTTGCTTTATCTTCTGGATTGTTGTTTCGAAATCAAACGAATCTGGAATAGTTTTTGACGTATCTACTAACATTGAAGTTGGGTTCATAACTAAAGAGTTTGGTAAAGTTGATGCTAACATGTTCTTACAATAAAAATAAAAAATATTTTTTAAAAAAAACTAACTTTATTTTTTATTTTTTTGTGAAAGTGTCAAAAATAAATTGTTTTCATGAGTTTTCTACGATGGTAGAAAAAAGGGTAGAAAACGGGATAGATATACCCTTCTACCCTAAAAGTATTTTTCAATACTTTTTCAGCACTTTTCCGTAGTTATATATGAAAGACAATTCGAGAATAAAGTCATAGTACAATGGAATAATATATTGCACCATTTGTTGTGAACCAAACTTGAAAGTCAGAGAAACTGTTACTAGATGGTTCGTAGAATTTGGAAGCAAAGTCATAAAAGTCCTTACCAATACATAGAAAACTATTGTTGCTTGAACTGAAACTTGCATGACACATAACATTTTGAGGGTCAAATACGTTTCTATAAACTGTCAAATCTGCTGGTGGAAGTATAAATTTAAATGGACCATCTGGTGGTAATGGTTCGTTCTGGTTTAGTAACCGAAGAAATTGTGCCCAAGAACGTTTGTCTACTTCCAAAATAAAAACTCTGTATCTCTTGGAGGGTTAATTTCAATCTTTTGAAATGAAACGGTGGAGTTCATCTTGTCATATTCTAGTTTCAGATAGTATGTTCCATTTAGTAAAGAGTCGTATTTTTCTTGAAATTCCCAATAATATTTGTTCATTTGAGTTTGAAAGTCATTTAGAGTTTTCTCAAGACTTTCGTCTGAACGAATTGTAAAGATTCTCATTTCGTCAAATTTGTCTATTAGACCATCAGGACCTTCATACTGCCATGAAAATATACTGCGAACATAAATGCGTTAGTTCTATTTGAAAACAAAACTCTTCTAAATCCTATTGCCTTTGCATCTGAAGGACTTTGAAGCCAACGAATTGGATAGTCAAACCTGTATGCTCGGGATGAAATTTCTTCATCTGAAATAGTCCTACCAGCATTTGTAAAGATATAGTCTAACGGTTTTGTATCTGCTACTTTTGTTCTTTGTTTTTCAACCTGAAGCATTTAATATATGTAAAAATATATTGTTTTAAAATGGTATGCCATATAGCTTCTTGAATTTGTTAAGAAGTATTTGAACGTATTTTCCATCTGTATCTCTAGTGTTTACATAAGCATAGCCCGCCTTAGTAAAATATACTTGTAATTTCCTATAGTTTACGCCGGTATAAAAGTAGAAAGAGTCTTGTTCTTCGCTATAGTAGTAAAACTCCAACGTATGCTTGCCATAGTCTGTAATTTCAATTGTTTCATCTTCTAGTTCGTCGACAAATTCGAATACAATATCTCCAAATTTGCCTTTGTTCTTATTGTTTTCAGAACGAGTGACCCAACGTAAGTTTTCAAGTCTATTGTCGTTTCTTATATGGTTTATAAGGTCTACAAAAGGTAAATTGTTAGGATTCAGTATAAAACGAGTTGCAATGACAACATGTTTAAGATAGTGTTTTCCACCCATCTTCATAATAGCATATCCGTCATTTCGCTCCCATTCGCTTAAAACTCTTTTTGTCTTTTTGTTTCTGACTTCAAATGACTCACAACAGTGAATTTCATATTTGTCATCTAACAAACAAGTTTCCCAACGGTCTGCTCCAACAAACTCAGCGTACATTTCAAATAAAATAAAAAAATATTTTTTTGAAAAACGTTTTTACTTCATGCAATGTTTTATTTCTGTGCCGTCTTCAAGTATGCCCCAATATTTCCTTTTCGATATTACATGAACTTCGGAAAATACCTTATCTAGCTTAAAACAGCCCATTTTTTCACCGACCATACCCATTTCAATGAGTTTGTTGTATCCTTCTTCGTTCGTCATGAGTGCGTCAATGTTCTCATAGTAAACCTTGACTTTCGATTTGACTTCGGAGAAGAATTTGTTGTACTCGTCAAGGACTGCTTTTGCGAACTGAGGGTAAGACCAATGTTCGATAATAGGTTTTAATGTGGTTACTAAGCCACTTTGACCTTGAGTGAATTCGTACTTCAAAACAAAAGGAGAAAACCTTTCAACAAAGTTGTCGACCTTCTCATAATGTTTACTCTTCATCTCTTGAGGTTTCTTAATGGAATATCCCCATGTCGAATTCATAAGCAATTTGAGTGTCATTGCAAGTTTGGGGTTTGAAGCTTTCCTAATATCATACAGTTGTTGTATGACTTTTCCAACTGTATAGTTCCTTCCCGGGAACTCACCATCTTCGTTTGGAATTCCAGTCGGAATATATTGGACAAACCTCATGTACGCAGCGTTAAGGTCGACATAGTATATCTTTTCGTTTGAGTCGAACTTGTCGCAACCAATTGGTCCAGTTTGTGGAAATTCAAGTGAGTCTCTTATCTTCTGCGAAACTTCTCCTGTTATCTCATAAACATCGTCGAAGCAACCTGTTTCATATAAAACCTTCTGACCTAACTCAGATGCTCTCCAATACAATTTGACGTCAATTGGATGTCTCAATGGAAGTTTGTTTATAGCATCTTGAAGTTCTTGCAACCTCATTGGAAGTTCTTCTGGTTCAGGTTGGTATCCGAACGATCCAACTCCTTGTGGAACTGTGTACTTCTTTTGTACTAGAACTTTGTCTGGAACAACTTTTGGTCTTGCTAACAATGAAAAGTTTGTTTCGTCTTTGGTACAAAAGTTTCTGTCAGCTTGTCATCTGGAATTGGTTCCAACAAACCTTTCTCGAAAAGAATGTTTACAGCTCTGACAATGTTGCACTTACTTTTACCAAAGAATGGGTTTGTAAGACTTTCGTTCAACATGAAGTGGTTGTGGACAATTACAATCTTCAACCATGGTAAGTCTTTGTCAACAACATAGTCGTCATGTGAAGAACCTTTAGCTGTAGGTATGTTGACTCGAATATTGACATTTGCCAACGGTGCAATTTTTGCCAATTGACCTCTGAGAATGTACCTTGTCTTCACACATGACTCAAGATACTTCATCTTCTCATCTGTAACAAGACCAGAGTTCCTGAGACATGTAAGAATGCAAGGTTCGTTGACAATTGTTTCAATTGAATTGTAAATTCCATACCTTGTCAAGTCAATGTCAGACTTATTTATGAACGGAAGTATCCAGCATGTTGTCTGACTGCTTGAGGGTTATGTTGTACCATTCGAACTTGACACTTGCAATTCCTTCAATTGCATTCAAAATGTCTGAGTCGGAGTCAACCATTTGTTCTCTCTTTGTAGTCTTGAAAGCGTCAAGAAGTTTTGCGGCTGTTTGTTCATTGCCATGTGCATAGTAAATGTGACCATCCAAATCTGTTATGGTCAATCTGAGATTGTGTCCTTTCTTATTTCCGTCTTGAATTGCAGCAAGTACACCCATGAAGCCTTCTTTGTTCTTTCCTTCGTCAAAGTTTACTGTAAAGGTTCGACCGGATGTAATTTGACTTCTAACTTCACGATACTTTTCATATGAATATCTTGTTCTTTCCATGGGAGCATGTGCGTCTTCACCTTTTCCTTTTTTCCTTCTCAAAGGATGCAATTGTTCGTCATGTTTCCAGTAGAATCTGGCAAAGCCGTCGTGTCCTTCAACTTGAGGTTCACTAACATCGAAAGGCATGTCCATAAGACGTTCTTCTTCTAACCTCTCTAGTCTGTTTGGATAATTGGCACGTGCTGTTTCCAAATCCATTTCGTAGCGAAGACCAGACAATTTGTCATAGACTTTTATGGGTCTTCCCTTCCTATATTTAAAATTCTTCGAAACTCTCCAACCATATCTTTGTAACTCTGCTTTTATTCTAGCAGACTTTCTATCCATTCTATATGGGGGCATTTTTATAAAAATAAAAAATATTTTTTTTTCTCTTTACTTTACATAACCGCCTGCTGCCATAAGTCTTTGACGCCAACCCATACCAGCTAATGAAGGTTGACTTGGTTTAGTTTGGAAACTAAACTTTGGTTTTGGTTTATCTTCAGTTTTTGGTTTTTCTTCTTCTATCGGTTTTTCGTCACTTTTCGGTTCCTCTGACTTTACTTCACTTGCAGGAACAGTTGTGTCGTCAACATCTTCATAAATATCATATGCCTTTTGTTTTTGTTTTCCTTTCAACTTTTTGTGTTTGTTGTAAAGTTTAGAATATTTCGACTCTAAGTCAATGAGATGTTCTATAATGAACTGTTGGTCAGTGAAGTATACTTTCCCATCTGTTGTCTCGAAAGCTCCTTCAGACTTCAATATTTTATTTGTGAGAGTCTGTTTCTTTTTTGAGAGACTAGCCGTTCCATTTCTATGAAAAGTGACTTTATAGTTAGGGTTTGTATTTCCAGACCTGGCACTTTCTATTATTGAATTTTTCTCTTCATCTGTAAGTTCTTTGACAGGTTTTGACAATGGTTCTGAACTTTTTGTTTGTGGTGTCAAATCTACCGTTTCAACTTCTTCGGTCATTTCATCTCAGTAAAAAATTTTAATTTGGTTTGTTTTCAACTGGTTGTTGTTGTGGAGGTGGGATGATTCCTTTAATAATATCATTCAGTTTCACATGCTGAGCCTGACTATATGGTATCGGTTTAAATGCTGGAAGCCGACAAATCCATCTTGAACTCATTTGTCTCAATGCTGCATTGTTCATTTCATCTCAATAAAAAACCTTTCATTTCCCAAGTTTGAGGTGGTTGCGGTTGGTTATTGCTTACCCATTGTTGTGCATGGTTATATCCTCTGTTAAAGAATCTTTCACCTTGGTCCATATAGTGTCCTGCTTGGTTATAGTAGTTATTTGCTTTGTTATAATAGTTTCCTGCTTGTCTTCCTACATTGTCCATCCATCCTTGAACTTTTCCTCTTGTTTCAGGATTTGGAATAAGATTTGTTGCATCTCGTGCTACATCCCAACCTTTCTGTACAGTTTGTATAATAGGTTGTGCTTTCTCTTTAAGTATACTAATGTACTCAAAATTTCCTTCCAATTCCAAATGCACCTCTAGCTATTGTTCCACTGCGGGTAAAA